CCCAAACACCGCATAAGATCTCTGCTAAGGATGGGAAGAGGCTCCTTAAAAGTGCCCCCGCCCCACCAGTCTGCCAAGAGGGAGGACGTACAGTTTTGCACCATTCAGAAGACCCGAGCAGGAGAGCATTCCATTTCTCGGGCTGTGCAAGACACACACAAGTCAAGAGCTGAGTGCATATTTGCATATGTGCTTGCATAAGCTAGCTGGGTGGCCCAGGCTAGCCCAGTCTCATCAGATCTCAGAAGCTAAGCAGAGCAGGCCCTGATCAGTACTCGGATGGGAGACCACCAAGGAAGCCCAGGGTTGCTACAGAGAGGCAGGCAATGGCCAACCAATTCTGTTTGTCTCTTGCCTTCGAAACCCTATGGAGTCACCATAAGCCACCTGTGATTTGATGGCATTTCCCACCACAGGTCTGAGAGGGAAGGCTATGTTTGTCTAGGCACTCATCTGAAATTATTGGAATTGAGCCAGCAATTCAGCAAGCCAGCCAATTTTGATCTCTGGCAAAAATTATGGGAAACCTGAGCCACTCCTGGCTTACACCTCAACTATTCTTCACACAGACTGACTCCTTGGCTTCAGGGCAGCTGGGAGGTACCAGGGTGTTCTCAAAGATTCCCTGTGGGCTGCCCCTTTACACCACCCACAAATATCTAAGAAGGCGAATCACGTAACTTGGGTCACAGGAGTGGCCAGGTCTCCTGGAAGTCCCCTCCCTCCTTGCATTTTTCCTAGAACATTCCTTGTTCTCATCCAGTCTCTAAAAAAAGTCACGGGTTCTGCAGGGGTGGGGTGAAATGGGGCAGATTCTGTTGGTACTTAGCCCCAGCTGAGATATTTGCCCAGCGTTAGGCAGCTGATACTTCCCCTATGTCAGTCCAGACCACTGTAACAGAGAGAAACAACAGACACCAGGGTGGATCCTATAGCTACCACTTCACTGAGCAAAGTTTATTTATTAATTAAATTATTTTGCTCAAGTCCAAAGTCTTCCTCCAGTCTAAGAAGACTTCCTCCAACAATTGGTCTTCCTCCAAGACCCATTTAAATAGAGGAAGGTTACGTGGAGGACGGCTGGATCCACCCCAGCACCTCCAAAAGTGCTGGATGTACTAGGCAGTCCAAAGGAAGTTGCAGAGTTCACCAGCCAGTCTTTTCCGGGAAAAATTTCCTTCCTTTTTACAAACGTTGAGATATGTCAAGCTCTGAGCAAACTCATTGAACGAGTTAGCCCCAGGACATTTTAGCACATTCAACCTGGTGGTGTCTGGTGACTGACAAGTCTTATGAGGAAAGGCTGAAAGAGTTGGGTATGTTTAGCCTGGGAGAGGGGAGATGATTGCAGTCTTCAAGTATCTGAAGGGCTGTGATGTAGAAGATGGAGCAGATCTATTCTCTCTTGCTCCGCATTGCAAGACTAGATCTAATGGGTGGAAATTACAAGGGAGTCGATACTGGCTCGATATCAGGAGAAACTTCCTAACTGTAAGAGTGCTTGAGCAATGGAATGGACTGCCTCGGGAGGTGGTGGATGCTCCTTCGCTGGACGTTTTCAGGCAGAGGCTGGATGACCATCTTTCGGGTATGTTGTAGGGCTATCTTTCGGCTATGCTCCTGCAGAGTGGCGGGGGTTGGACTAGATGACCTGCAAGTCCCTTCCAACGCTAACATTCTATGATTCTATGAGTGTCCTGAAGAACTGCACACCCTGGCCATGAAACGATTTCATGTTTGTGCACAGGGAGGGAATTTATTTTAGTGCTAACAGGACCTGATTTATGGGGCTTTCCTCTAAGGCAGGAAGAGCAAGTTGGCAAGGGCTGTTTTGAAACAGTGCTGCTCAGTGTATTCCCAAAATGTTGGCTAGGTGACCACATCAGAAAATCCGCTGAGCACTGTGCAACTATCAATGCAATGTAAGCTTCCAACATGTTTTAAACTACTGTATTAAGGAAAAATTCCTGGGAACTCCAGGTGCAATCCTTCACAGAAGACTTTCCTGCAGGTACCTCTTCTGAAATCTGAGTGAGGACAAATGAATGCGCCTTTGCACAGAAGAGCGTTCCACAGAGAGCGATGGAGACCTCGTTTGTATGACCGAGTAACATCAGTCCTAGGCTAAACAAGACCCCCATTCCCACTATTTTCACCTGCGTGGACGCTTCCATCAGACAAATACAAAAATTCTAATTTTATCACCGAAGTCTCCAAATTCTTGATTTAAGGCCCACTCCCCCATCCAACAAAAGCAAGCCGTTATCACTGCAGTGAATTTACACGGTAGGATCCAACATAAACAGCAAGGCTCTCCCCCAAGCACCAGCAGCCATGCCTTGATGCAAGAGGTTCTTCTGCCAAAGGAACAGCCTTCTGCATTAGGCAAAAGGCTCCTTGCAAAAGAAGATGGTGCCTCTGTTTGCGGGAACAGATCTGCGGGCAGCCCCACAGCAAGACGATTTTTGTTGGGGGGGGCACTCATGATGTCACAAAAAATAAGGACGACATTATTTGGGAGTCTCTCCACTAGTTTTAGGAGCGGTGGTGGCTCAAGTGGTTAAGACGCTGAACTGCAGGCTGTGGAAGGTCAGGAGTTCAAGACCCGAGTGTGCCGCATGACGGAGTGAGCTCCCGTCTCTAGTTCCAGCTCCTGCCAACCTAGCCGTTCGAAAGCAAGAAATTACAAGTAGATAAATAGGTACCACTTTGGGGGGAAGGTAACAGCGTTCTGTGTGCCTTGGTGTTTAGTCATGCCGGCCACATGACCACGGAAAAGTCTTCGGACAGCGCTGGCTCTTCAGCTTTGAAACGGAGATGAGCACCGCAACCCTAGAGTCGGACTCGACTGGCTTTCAAGCAAGGGAACCTTTACCTTTACCCCTAGTTTTAATCAAGACAAGAAAGAAGGAATTCTCTTTCTTCTGTGATTTCAGAGCCTACACGTACCAAAGAATTTCAAACCCGTAAGTAAAAGTGCCGCTCATCTGAACCATCTGGAAGACCACACTCGCTCACTCACCCATCCAGGGGTGCTCCTTCGCCTCTTCCTTTCCCTCCTCTGTCCAGCAAGGTGTGGCATGCTTCAGCAGCGGTGTCAAGGAGCCTGGCAGTGGCCAGTGGGTCAGCCTCCATTCCACCCACCCCTGGTCAGTGGCGGAAGAAGAAAGAGCGCTGGCGCCAGGTGCGTGCTCCTTCCCCCACTGGCCAGCCGGCTCACCCTGAGGGCCAGGCCCTTGGCATGTGCTGGGCCTGGAGCTGGCTGTACAGACATATGGAAGGAAGGCTGGTAAGGAAGTGCCTGGCTGGCTGGCACTGCGCTGCCCCCAGTCACTTCCAGAGGAAATTCAGGCCAGCGGGGGAGGGGGTCAGGGTGACCAGGAGAAGGGGCATTTCAGACTCGGGAGGGGGCACCACTCCCGCCTAGCTACAGCCCTGTCTATGGGTGACACAATCCGTTGTCGTCTGAGATCATGTGAGCATGGGACATGAAGTGGAGTATGGGACTTCCATGGGACAAGGAGTGGAGCTTTTCACCTCTGGTTAGCTTTTAGCCCTATATGTGCTTCCCTGCTACCTTAGGAGAGAACAGCTGGAAAATCTGGTTATCCTGTCAGCAGGCCAAGTGACGGCCTTGGCAGTGATGACGGCAGCCTTTTCTGGAGTAGCTGAAGTTTTACGGAATTCTTTCCACGAGCAAAGCAAACCGCTTTGCTTCTAACTTTCTAGGAAGGTTGCTAAGACTTTTAAAAATTCTGATGGCCACTGTATCTTTGTTAAACTGTGTGCATCTATTGCCTGTATCGTGATCTGGTGTGTTGGAAGAACTATGATCTTCTATAGTTCAAAGCAGTTTGGCAGCCTGTACATGTTTTAAATAAATGGCCAGCAGAAATATGTAAGGTAAGGAACCAGAGATGTGTTTGCCTGATATACTGGACCATGGCTGCCCTCAGTACTGAAAATGTATTATCCTTCAGTGGCTGTCCATTGTGCTTGTGCCCCATAGATCATTAAGAACATAAGACTATAAGAACATAAGAGAAGTCAATGTTGGATCAGGCCAATGGCCCATCTGGGCCAACACTCTGTCACACAGTGGCCAAAAATACCAGATGCCATCAGGAGGTCCAGCAGTGGGGCCAGGACACTAGAAGCCCTCCCACTGTTGCCCGCCCCCCCAAGCACCAGGAATACAGAGCATCACTTGCCCCAGCCTGAGAGTTCCTATCTATACCTTATGGCCACTGATGGACTTCTGCTCCATATGCTTATCTAATTCCCTCTTGAAGCTGTCCATGCTTGTAGCCACCACCACCACCTCCTGTGGCAGTAGTCCCACAACCAAGTAATCTCACACAGTCCCATCCCAATGTTCAGGCGTGTACATTTGGATTTTAGAGTTAACCTCCTGACCAACAGAGCTGGGGAAAAATATTTCAAGTTCTGCAGCGTTAACGTTTTCTGGAGGAAGCACCAAAAATCCCAACCTTGTATAGAAATGGTGGGCAAAAATTTTTAGGGAGACCCATCATGCAACCAGGCACCTAGCCATTTAGCTCTGCTGATGACAGATCTTGAGATTGGCGGTGGCAAATATTACTTCTTGTTTACATCCTTGTGCACAACTGTTGGTAAAATAAAGATGAAGGACACACTCCCCTAGGGTTGCTGGAAAGATGACTGATATGGATTTAAAGTATAAAAACGGCCTGCGTTTTCACATGGCTTTGTTCTATTTGTTTCACATTCTAGAATTATAAGTTATAAACACATATATAAATGTTCCCAAACTGCAGGTCTCCGGAGCCTTGCAGAGAAGACACCATCGATTTGCGTGCGATTCACAGAAATTGGTTTGGTATGAAAAGTGCTACAAACTAAGGAATTCCCTTGTCAAGCACCATTTGGTACAAAGCTACTGGTGTGTACTCTACCACCTTGAGATTCCTTAAGAGTCACAAAGGTTAACGTATGTATCTTATGGCCCTCCCGCTTACCATCTGGGTCTTCAGCTGGCTGGATGCTCATGTAAGGTTCTCCTTTCTCCATCCGGGACTGCCTTTGCCGGCTCTCCTCCTCCAGTGCTGCCTCGGCTCGGCTTTTTGCATTGATGTAGGCAAGATAGGCGGGTGAGTTATGGTAGGCCTTCATCGACTCGTTGTATTCTATCTACAGTTTGACAGATACATTTTTTTTATATAAAAGAAAAAAAGAAAGAATTGCAGAAAAGACCATCTCTCCCGTACCCTTGGGAGGGAATCTTCAGACTGCAAGACCCCTTGCAGGAGGCAAGGAAAATGTCACACGGAGCAAGGGGCGGCAATCTCAAGAGCGGCTTACTACACATTCACAACTGCTGTGCTCTGCAAGAGCCTCATGGCCAGAGGCAAGGTAGCATTACATCTAAACATTTTTTTTTGCAGTGTGTCCGTATAACCCGAATGCCAAAGGGAATACAGGGGAGTGGAACGCAGGAAGCACCTGCAACAGGGGAGTCAGATTAACCGTGCTTTCTTTCCAAGTAGCATTTATATTTGGAGATGGGGGGCAAAGAGGGAGGGCACGCAACTTTGACTCAGGTTTAACTGTAGGATTTTTTTATTTTTTGGGTGGGTGGAATGTAACAGCTCTTTTCAAGCCATCCAAGATAACGTGATTCTATTATACTCTCCTTAAAAGCTCCCAGGAGATCTGGCTTTTCACAGCAAAAGAGTTGATTCAGTTCCTTTCCTCAATAACTCTTGTGTTTTATCATCACCTCCTCCAGAACCAGTCTTTATTTTAGCTTTTTTTTTTGGTGTGTGTAAAGAGAGACAGAGAGACTTCCAGGAGTGAGGGGGAGATTTCTTCCGTGTACCTTTTCTGCTTCATATTCATTTAAGTACTCTTGCTTCTCCTCGTCAGTGAGGTCTCGCCACATCCCTCCAATGATCTTCCCAATTTCCCATAACTTCAAGTCGGGGTTGGATGCCTTCACTTGGTCCCAGACCTTAACAAAAACATCTGTAATAAAGCTCCAGCTAACTACATACTTATAAAATTAAACACATCTCTTTTTGTTAACACCACCACATGACTAGGGTCTTTTTTTTTTCCAGAGAACTATTCCCCACAAAGAAAGGCTACATTAAGACAGTTATTATTTTTGGTTAGGCTATGTCCACGGTTTGATTATTTCTCTGGGGCAAGAAGACAGAGGCACAATGTTTATCCACCGCCCGGTTTTATTCTCAGTTCCACAGAATCCTTTTCACCAGTCGTGCCCTTAAATCCTGCACACGTTTCTTCTTTATTTTTTAAAAGAGGTTGCCGGAAGAGAGTGTTTGCTTTTTAAAAAAAACCTGAGGTAAAAATGTGGGTAATAACAGTTCTCCTTTTGGCTCAGTCACTCCTTGGCAGTGGATTGGATCAGGCGCTGTCCACAAGATCCAGTGGAACATTTTATCAGGGGGGAAAAATTCAATGGATTAAAAAGAAAAGAAAAGAAGCGATGCTACACTCCCTGTTCCCTCTCACTAAAGTAAATGGAGAAGAGAACTTAAAAAAAAAATTAGGGTAGATCCTACAATCAACTACGTTAAAGTCCAGCTACGGATTTGCAACAAAATCTTGCTTTGCCGCCAAATAGCGGATACTTTACGACAGAAAGTTCTGTCAACAAGTCACCGTATGCATCCTTGTCTGCAGAGGAAGTGGTGGTTAAGCGCTAAGCATTTTTTTCCTCCTAAACGTTAAATAACAAAAAAGGTCTTCATTTCTCCCCCGACAGCGTGGTGCCCATGTTTCATTCTGGGGTGGAACTTTTTTTTTTGCCCTTCCACTCGGGTAGTTCACCAATGCCTTCATCGTGAACAGAGAAGTCAATGGCATTCTTAAAATTTCCCGTAAAAAAAAATTAAGCCAAGCATTCAGGTTCGAGTTTTGAACGCAAATACACTCGAGAACATCTATGAACAAGGTTAAGCATGAGCTCTTTTAAGTACTGCTTGCCGAAATTAAGACTAAGCGTTTTGTACCCACCTTCCTGCTGTACCTCATATATGGCATGAGTGGCTTATCTGGAGGCTTGGGGGGTTTGGGGATTGTAATACCAGACGATGCCTAGAGAAGAACCAAATAAAATCCACTGGTTATCTTATCTCAAACATGGGGGAACTGCAAAACAGAGACACATGATGGTAAGCAAGACACAGGCACAGGTAACATCATCGGCTCTCATGAGAACGGAGTATTTTATTCAAGCACCCTGAATCAAGGAGACCATGAACTTCTGTGACTCGTACTTCTAATGGTTTTGTCTATCAGTAGAGGCAATTTCATGATAGTGGTACCAGCGGCTTGATCAAAAAATGAGTTCAAAATGCTCATTTACCCCCTTTCTAATGAGAGCAACTGTTACTCTACCTGCACTAACTACTTGAGGCTGCATTCACACGTGTCTTTTAAACTTCTGATTGTACCCCAGAATGTACATCAGCCTCAGTTTTCTTACTAATGTAGCATCCACAGCTGCATGGGGATTTAATTTTTTTCTGATTTCCTACAAGTTGGTTTCGAATTAATGTTTCATGCTGTGAAAACTATGGCTTCAAATCCCCTATGAAAAGGTGTGGAGTGATGCCACTTTTGTTAGGAGTCTCTGAAGAATTATACAGCTGTTCTCCTGGACAATGACAATTCTGAGTCTTGGTCCTGCCCAAGATTGCTCTTTCTTACACTGGCTCTTGTAGTGTTAGCCCATAATGGATTTTTCCCCTGAGGGACCACAGCACGGGGGAACCACAGATTCTGTACAGCATTAAAGACAGTTCCAGTGGCAAACCAGCAATAAAACTCAGGTGTGAATGCAACCTCAATAACTAAGGAAAGAATAGGCAAGTTTAAGAAAAGGAGAGAAAACAGAGTAAGGCAAAGCTCGAAGTCGTACAGATATTCTTTCACTCAAGGCCTTCTCAAGTTACACTTATTCCGTAAAGACAGACTGAGGAGTGGGCAGCAGGTGGGAACCCAGAATACTGATTGGAACAAAGCTCACTCCCTCAACCTGTACACCACATGAGTCCGAACTGTACTGTCCATGCCCGAACTAGACTGTGAGTTCCTGGAGGGACTCTGTCTTCCTGAAAGGTATGTACAAACGCCAATCACCTTGCCTGCACTCAGTGGGAAAGAAAAACACAGACACTAAAACAAATAAGGTGTTATTTGACTGGCACCTGCACGACCTTCTCTCTCCTCCACACACACACACAAAATCTCATTGCAAAACACAGCATTTGCACTTAACAGACAATTTATGTTCCTCAAAACAAAAGATCAAAGCTTCACTTGAATTACCTGTAAAAGATGGTATGTCCTAAACACAACAGCCTCAAATACTTTTTTTATTTGGCTAAATGAGGACCACCAATTTCAGTGGAAGTAGTTCCAAGAACTGCAATGACCCCAGGCTTACACACACCCGCTGCAAACAAAATTTCCTGGTACTGGCTATGATCAAGAATCCTGTTGTACACCTGGTGAGCTGGTAGCAATGGTAGATTGAAGCACCATGAACTCAAGGGACACTCAGCCAAACTGCTGCCAACTGCTAGGAGAGCTCTGTTTTGGAAGATAGAGTTTTATTGCCAGACTGGATCCTCACCTGCAGCTGCTTAATGATCCTCTACGTGCACCCAGAACTCCATTTGCCCACAAACACTTTGCTTCAATGGAGGAAACAGATCCACACACAGATCTCTTGGATTCACTACCTCCACTGAAGCTGTCCTTGTGTGGGAACTTCCACCTGCACATCAGAGCAATGGTGCCATTGGAATGGGGCAATGGTATTTAGAATCAATGCTGACTGATCATAGCATGGGATTTCCCACTTTATTCAAATAAGGTTACTTTAATGAACTGAAATAATGCACAGCGTATGTGTGATAGGAATAGTTTGCAACATGAGGCCTCTACTGTTCTAGAAGAACCTAGAATATTTCTTAATGGGAGGGGGGAAGACTGGGTATTTTCTCCAGGCCTTGTTTATGAAATGCTATGAACCAATGCATACATCACTTGTGCTGAAGTAGAAAAATGTACGTGAGGTGTATGCATCAGCAAATGTATACAAATACACACAGAGAGATGGATCTGAAAACATTCAGTGATTCAATTTAATGCTTGTAAATCAAGAAGAGTTTTAAAAAAGATAAATTGCACATTGAAATATACATAGCAGAGAAAGCTGTAAAGGCTCTGACAGATATACAATGAAAATCTGTGAAACAACAACAAAAAAGTTTGTTTCAATCCAAATTTAAATTCAGGAATAAGTGTTGGGGAATAAACTTTTTAACCATGAATGGGCTGATCTGTATTAGAAAAATTCCCTTACATTACTAACATCAGAAACCCTTATCATAAAATGTGACCAAAGTAATATTTGAAGAGAGATTCTCCACCATGGCGGATTAGTACCGTTTCTGTATTCCTGTTTTGTTTTTAAATCTAATTCTGATCACATTGCCATCTGTTCTGTCACCTTCCTTCCAAATGACTGTGGAACTATGGGTAAACTCTCTTCATCTTAGCCTGTTATCAGAGTGTTTGAGAGAAAGAACCTGAAGACACAGGTCTAAGACCTGTATCAACTGTGATTACACTGGATAGCCTTGAGCCTAATCCTCATTCTATCCCAAATCCTCATTAATTTGATAAGAGATAATTATTACTAATTAATTCCAGAAAAGTAGGACCAAATGCACATGGCACTGGAGTTGTGCCTTCTTCCTTAACTTCTTCCTGCACTGCTTTGGCCAGGAAGCATTGGGGGGGGGGGGAATGAGGTGATTCTTTCCCATGTAATCCTTGCCCAGCTAGGAGGACATCATTTACAGGAGAATGAATCATGCAATGAGACCCACCACGATTCCTTTACGCAAACGTCACTACAGTGCCATGAGAAGAAGGCACAGGGAAGTAGCTCTCACATCATTATGGGAACACGTCCTCAGCATCTAGGCATCTAGGCAACATGACGTCAAGGCGGCTAAAAAGCTAACAGGTTATTTTTGAAGGGAACAACCAGTTTCAATAGATACATGAGGGGAATCAAGGTGGTAACAGTCATGGCATTAGGAAAGGTGGTTATAATTTGGGTCTGTCCACTTGAAAGAAAACAGTAGCAACACTCCCTCCTCTCCACTTCTTAGGATGAGGAAGAAGACGACAAAGAGTTGGTTTTTATACCCCGCTTTTCTCCACCTTAAGGAGTCTCAAAGCAACTTACAATCGCCTTCCCTTCCTCTCCACACAACAGGCACCTTGTGAAGTACATGGGGCTGAGAGAGTTCTGAGAGTTGTGACTGGCCCAAGGTCACCCTGCAGGTTTCATGTGGAGGAGGAGTGGGGAATCAAATGTGGTTCTCCAGATTGGAGTCCACTGCTCTTAATCACCACACCACACTAGCTCTCAGCTATATTCAAATTCCAACCACCTTTCATTTCAGTAGGACGCTGTAACTTGGCAAAAGTTCTGTCTACAGGTAGTCATGATGAAAATTCAAAAGAATCTTTAGTTTGGCAAGTGGGGAGATGTTCCCTCCCACTTCCAGAACATAAGCCTATATAATTGTCACCTTCCCCAATTGCTTTATCTTTCCAAGCAACCGATTGTGCCAGAACAGGGTGTGAGTCTCGAAGGTGCCAAAGTTCTCCCAGCTTCTAAACCAACTGCTCTTATGGGAATCCAAAGGCTGATTCACGCACACATGTGTATAACTTGACTTCCTCTCTGTCTGAGGATTCACAGATGGCTATGCGTGAGCAGTCTCCAAAGCCACCATGTCGGAGGTGACATGGAAACTCGCTGGCAGTCTCTCATCTGTGACAGCCGTTTCATCTGTGCAGTCAGCATTTGATGTCTCACTCATCAAGGGATACACATGCATGGGAACTCACTCAATGTCTTGCTCCAGTTTACAACCCTAAGTGCTACTTAGTCCCACCTGCAGTGGAAAAAAAAAAGGAAGAATGAGGAGAAGGGGGAAGAAATTGCAAGTTAAAAGTTTCCAGTTTTATATTTTTTTTTTCAAAAAGTGATAGCAGCCAAGATTCAGAAGAACCTAACTCTAAAGCCATTTCTGGTCACTTCTTGTTGTTTGCCGGATGACGTAATAGTTGATTCTCCTACCGTGGCCCGGCTGTTGGTGCCCGGGTTCCCTCCCAGCCTGTAGTTGTTGTAGGCCAGATGGCTGTATGGATTGTATCCCACAAACCCTGGTGTGCTGGGCATTTGCTGATGGAAACAAATGAGACAAAAACACGAATGAGAAATGAGTCCTGACGAGGAGAACACAGAGAAATGAAAATGGTTTGCAGTACAGCATGCAAAAGCAACCAGAAATTTAAAAACAAGCAAAATGAGGTGCAGCAGCAGCAGCTGGCTCCCTCTCAAGAGGGACAGTGAGACGGAGTGAAACCTGGCCAAGGAAAACAGGAAGTTTTGGCTTAAAAACCCATATACCGCAGATCCTGGACAGTCGTGACCTTAGTACTTCTGGCATGAAGGCTGTGACACTTTATCAGTGGTGATTATATTTTAAATGTTTTATGAAAGAACCCATTTCAGAGGAAACTAGGCTTCTTTAAAAAAATAAAATAAAAACAACAATATACAGATACATTTATACACACACAGGACCGCACAAGCCCACAAGTGATTTTGATTAGAGAATGATTTGGAAGGAAGTGTCTGTTCTTTTCCATAAGATACCCAGCCACAATTTTTATATATTTATTATTTATTCATGCATACACAAAAAAGGGATGGGGTGTATGTGTTTGGTTGTTTTGTTTTGCCGAAGAGCAAGTTTCTAGTCCAAGTCTGCAGCTCTTTACGCTACATGGTTCAAAGGGGAAAGCCAGCACAGAGCCACTGTGCTGCCCCAGGAGCACACACACATGGGTATATTCTAATCCCTCTGCAAAAGCAATTTGCGAATTCTTAAGAGCCCCAGATCTACCTGGGGCTGAAATGTGTCTCCCATTCCTTGGCCCTAGCATCAGACAGCCAGTATGTTCTCATGGTTAGTGTGCTTGCTTAATTTAAACTAGGGAAAGCCCAGATTTAAACACCTATTTGGTGATGGGGCAATGCTGCTGGGCAGCTTAAGCTAGTCACTCTCTCTGCCTCATCTAATTCACAGGCTTAGATAAAAAGTGTGCCTTTGTACCATGCACACCTCCATAAACTCCTCTGGAGAAAGGGCAGGATAACAATGCAGTAAATGTAAATGAAATTTCTAGGCAACCAACTGACCAAAAGCGCAGGACTCCTCTTCGCCTAGCATGTCTTACCCAGAAAGCTGAGGCCAATGCCATAGTGTTTCTCAGTCTATGAAGACCTAAGACTCACACTTTGGATGAGAGAAGCTCCAACAGTTTTCAATGTATAATACCACCAATCCCAATCCCCTCCTTTCCCTCCACTTGTATCAAAATGGAGACAGTCCCTTAGTTAATGTATGTATCCTTGGCCATCAAGCAACAAGTACTAAAGTGCCAGTAGTTTATTGCAGGCCTGAACACCCAACATTAACAGAAATGTATTTTATATACTGGGTAAATTGCCGCCAGGACTCTCCCTTTTCCTGGAATCCCACAAAGGAAGAGGCAAAAGCTTAAGGATTTCAATCAGCATTCTTAGCACCTTCATACAACAACAATTTATCCAAAGTTCTGCAAAGGGTCCTAACATACATAGTGTCTAAGTAAAGTCCTCAGGGCATACAAAACTGCCTTGGGAGTACAGTTGCTAACAGTTCGCCTGGAGGAAATGGCTGTTTTGGAGGATGGAGTCTATGGTGAGGTCCCTCCCCTCCCCAAACCCCGCCTTCCCCAGGCTCCACCCCCCAAATATCCAGATATTTCCTAACCCAGAGCTGGCAAACCTACTTGGGAGCCATAGACACCCACAAGCTCTCCACTTAAGAGTCCTGAATACAGACACCATTTAAATTGAAGTCTTCCTCCCCTCTACAGAGGCATCTGCTGCAAATTCAAGATGGAGAACTGGATTCCTAATCAGTGTTCCCTCTAAGCTGAGTTAGTGTGAGCTAGCTCACAGGGTTTTTTGCCTCCGGCTCACATATTTTTGTCTTAGCTCAGGAAGGATGGCTCCAGAGCAAACTAATCTATGCAGTAGCCAAATCGCTTGCTCACAACTTTAATGCCAGTAGCTCACAAAGTAGAATTTTTGTTCACAAGACTCCACAGCTTAGAGGGAGCATTGTTTCTAACACTTCTTTGTATATGAATTTTTTCATACCTGTGTATGAAAAGACTTTGTTAAGGATTGAGAGAAGTTTATCCATTCTTCCAGGTATAACACCACTGTCTACAATCGCCTGTCTTACTCTGAGTATTTTTCAATTAAGAGGTAAAGTACTTTAGAGGTAGGTGCAATTCAAGAACTCAGGAATGCTATACAAATTCCTTTTCATTTAGCTGCCATTTACTAAACCAATGAACAGGCAAATGGGCAATTTGTTTAAATACATCTCCAAAACATTTTTAAAAGTCAAGAAAAATTCCAGCTGTTTTTTTAGAATGAAGATAAAAAATTGAGGTTACAGTGCAAAATTATTAAAACAGATGTTAAAGTGCAATAGACTGTTTTCTGATACTACCTTTATGACTAGGATGATGTCAATCACTTAATTCACCACTAAAGTGTGAGGAAAGACGAGATCTCACTCAAAATGTTATTTGACAAGGCAAGAAGATGCAGGTTTGATCAAACAGTTCCTTTTCTGTTCTTTGCCTTCTGCCGCTCTGTTCCTTATGTCTCAGCCTTGTGGTTTGAATGTCTTGCACTTGTCTGTGGGTCCAACACCTAGCTGTGTTTGGCAGTGAGCCACTGCAATTTGCAAGTCTCTAATGAATGGCTTAACTGTACGCCTTCCTGGTCAGCTCTTACGATGGCTTACCCAACTAGTGACTTCCAACAGGATAAATATTCCATGGCTATAGTTAATTTGGATTTATCACAAGTGGTGATTCCCAATTCCCCCCCCCCATCCCCAGACTGCCCCCAGTGTGGTGTTGCTGCTTGATTCTCAGTTCTGGTGCTTGCCTCCCTTGAATACACTACCTGGCTATGACCAGCTCCTGCTATCATGGTTCTAGTTCTCCTCCTCCTGACTTTCTGCCCTGGTTTTTTGATACTTGGGCTCTTCTGCTCGCTAAAATCCTCTAACAACAAATAAATATACACTGCAAGAAACTTTTGTAAATTAATGTGTTCTGTTTATAACTGTCATTCTATAAAGTGCATTGTGTATTATTATAACATCCTATTATCATGTATATATATGAAGTCTTCCAGAAGGCTTCATACAAGTAGAAGCGGGTTTGTAATTCTGGAAACTCTCGTTGGGGTTTAACTTTTAAAATACTGATGCAAAATTGCTCTTTTTCATTGTTATATTGTATGAACTGTATGTTATTGTTACAGAAGAAGAAAAAGAGATTGGATTTATACCCCGCCCTTCACTACCCAAAGGAGTCTCAGAGTGGCTTACAAACTCCTTTCCCTTCCCCTCCCCCCAACAGACACCCTGTGAGGTAGGTGGGGCTGAGAGAGCTCTGACAGAAACTGCTCTTTTTCAAGAACAGCTCTGACAGAACTATGGCTTGCCCAAGGTCATCCAGCAGCTGCGAGTGGAGGAGTGGGGAATCAAACTCGGAGCTCCCAGATTAGAGTCCACGCACTTAACCACTACACCAAACTGGCTCCTGAATGTACTGAACACTGCAGCTCAGGTTCTACAGCTGCTAAAATCCTCTAGGCAGTGATACTGCAATGTGTGTGCTGGGTACAAACTGCCTGCACAAACAGCATCATGCCCTTAACTTTTGGGCCTCCGTCATTCTGAAATGATTGCTTCCAGTTAGCTTCCCTCTTCAGCTACCATACTCAAGGCTCCTCCATTGTGCCTATTTTTCTTCCTCCGTTAGGTCCAGACATCTTGTATTTTATTTGCTACAGCACCAATCCAGCAAATCAGGATTGGTTTAAACAATTTGTTAAAATATAAATATAAAGACCATGGTCTAAACATTTTAAAAGGTCAAACAGATTTTTCTTTGTGGATACAGTAACAAGCTGTTTTAAGTGGAGAACCGTTTTAATTGTCATTTATGTTTTAATGTAACTTATCTGTTTTTATGTAAGCTGCCCTGAGCTGGCTTTGGCTGGGAGGGCGGGGTAGAAATTCGACAAATAAATAAATAAGCTGCACAAAAGTTAGCTACATGTTTGGTAATGGTCTGATTATCATCTGATAGCAAATAATTGACATAGAGTCCATCAGCCCAGGCATTTCCATTAGCAGAGGTAAGGTGTATTTGGCTCGAACTAACTTGTACCAATGGGTACCTGAGAAGCATATGTTCTGACATCATTCACACAGCAAGAACCACATGTGGGGCTGACACTCCCCTATGTTGTGTAAAGTGCTCTGCAAACTGCTAGCCTTACAAACCTTTGCAAAAACCACACAGCAGCTCAAAGAAACTGGTCTTCTGTCATTCTGCAAACTCTGTAACACAGTTATTCAGGAGGGCATTTCTGTAAATGGAAAAAGTCTGTAGTACAATGGAACAGAGGGTGCTTTTTATAAAGGGAACAGGATTAGGATCTAGTCCACTGTTTATTATATGTATTATCTTGCTCTTACTGCATTATTTTCTGCTTCTGTAATTCCATTCCTTTTTTGCATTGTTTATGACGTATGCTTTTTTTGCACTGTCTGTAATTTTTGGGATGGTAGACATAGTGCCATTTGTCTCTCATACTATTTGATTGCACCGTCTTACACTGTGTGACCTGCCTTAAATCTTAGTAAGAAATGAATAAATAGAAAAAGAAAACGGAACTGGAGGGATGGTTTTCACCTTATGAACTTACAGGATTGCCAGTTACCACCAATCAACAAGGAAATGGTAAAACTGAGCACATGCTACTGCCTAAAAAAGCACATTTTATGCAAAAGTCAGGGCACTTAAAGCTCAGACAAATATTGCAGACACATCCTTTCAGTAAACTCTCTAAAACACTGACAGTTTGGTAGTCAGTCCTTCGCAGGAACAGACAAAAGGGCAAATTCCACCAACTTGACAGGCTGTGGTTAACACCACTCTGAATAGGGCAGATCGTTTTTGACTCCGAGGCCACGTCCAGATGCTGGTGGATCATGTTCTACATTTTCAGGAGATCACCTGAAGACAAAATCT